CCCTGTCCTCACTGTAATATCAGAACACTGTAGTCCATTTTCTCCCCTGCGCTCTATAGTGATCCATATATCTGAGCCCACATCTGAGCGCTGTGGCGGTTGTTTTTGTGTCATCTGGATTTGGAGTGACTTCATTATGGGACGATAACCCTTTTACTATCGCTGTCTCGCACTCCTCTTCACGACGCTCATAAATCGTGGCATTCTCCGGGGAAAAACAGCCCCGAACCCATCTCCGCTCACTGTATTTACGAGGCTCCGGCTGAGATCTCCCAGATTTGTGCTCCTTTTGTTTGTTTCTGACGTCGAGATGCTGAAAAAACGCTGTCTTTTGTTGCCTCTCTGCATGCACAGGCTTCAGGGCACTTTTTACAGCTCCGGTTCCATTCAAAGAGGAATAAAAAGTTTGCTCTGAGACAAGTTTTGTTTGCGTTCAGACTAGAGGATGTTTTGGTAAATGTGAGGAAATTTTGGTGTTGGAGAATATTTTTAATTGTATTTATTGACAGAATACCATTAGTGGAACATAACAAAGTAAAAGTATCTGTACTTCACTTAAGTACATTTTATAGTGGCAGCAATCACAATATCAAAATGTTCCAACTAATAAAACTGTAGCCTCCCCCATACTGACATGGTGCCAATTCTAGCAGATCTCCCGGTATAAAGTCCTGACCTGCTTTAAAGATGCACCGTGTAACCTTTTGGGGGGAGGGTCCATCACTTTAGCCTGATTCATCAGCCGGTTTCACTTCGTGGAAACCATCTGACCTTGCAGCATTAGGATTCTTTCGCTTGACAGTAAGTGGGTACTTTTTTATTTAACCAATCGCTACTGTTTGGTCGTGACGTATGTAATGCACCAAATACCGTAGAAAGAAGGGCAATAACATCTTTCTCCTTGATAAAATTCACCAAACATTCTCTTTGTTCTGGCTTTAAATCCTCGATCTCGGGAATCGTTGCCAACACAGAATGTATGGCTTTGTCTACATCCATCTCGACCACTTTGTTTACTGTTGTGCTGTACTACAAAACGGACCCAGACAGGTGCTTCAGTTTGACGTCATGGCTTCACAGCTCTTTGCTGATTGGCTGGTGCGCAGTCTACAACTTCCAGGGTTCTAGCAAACCGTCTAGTGTATTCTGATTCCTGACCTAGTCGCTGGAGAGAAATTAAATTGAGCGGAGGCATTAGGTGGCGCCAGCCTGGGTACCATCATCTGTTGTGTTGCTTGTACTACTTTTGTTATTGTATTAGGACCCCCTTGCAAACAAGATGCTACATTTCAAGGGGCTTCCCTTATAAATAAATAAAACTTTATGAAGTTATGAGAAGTTATTGCTTTCCTGAAATGTTCCACAGTATTGCATTAAACATGGATAACTTGCATTATCTAATTACAATTATTGTCTTGAAAAAGATGTTTTCTTACTCAGAGCAGTGTCACTTACCCACAGATCTTACTTGTAACTTGGCCTTGTAGCATCCCCTGTTTGACCCCATAGAGATAAATAAATGTTTAATGCCATACTGCTTGACATTTCAGGAATAGCATCTCCATGAAGATGAGCAGAGGACCTTTAACCCTCTCCAGGCAGGCGTTGCAGATTTGCAACAACTAAATGCCAATTACCTACTTACTCCAAATCTATATTTTATGAGCCTTTTTTACTCCGGAGCCTTTTCCCCCATCCATGCTGATAAACGTGGACGATGCAGACTGTGCAAGAACAGCTACACACAAACGACCAGCCAGAAGTACAAAGTACTTTTGTGCTTTACAAAGAATAAAGGATAAAAATTGTTTCTTGGAGTACCACACGAAAAAGTGATGTTGTCCTGCCACTGTAAAGTTACTGTGCTTTATGTTTTCATTATTATGAAAAGTGGTGTACAAATAAAGTTAGCGTTCATATCATTTTCAATCTTCAGTGTTAATTTACCACACTGGACCAAATCTGCAACATCCCAGAACGCATTGCATGTGAAGGTCTCTCTCTCAGAAAAAGTCTGGATTGTATATTACTACCCCATTTGATAATTTTCCCCAAATATCACATTTTTCCGGTGACTAAAACTTAATTTGAGCCTGAGAGAGTTAAAGTACCTATATGCTATATTTTCTGATCTACATTATAATGTTGTTTCCTCATCAAAAACAGACCTGGAGTTGTGTTGTGTTTCATTCACACATGTTTAACACAAATCCTGCATATTTAGGCTGAGTTCTTCCAGAAAACACTCTGTTCCACCTTGTGATGTCATGTGATAATAGAGGAAATGCTCCATTGTGTCTTGAAACTCCATACACCTTCACCAGAATCATTTGGATAATTTCAGCCTTGGAATTGACAATCTCCACTGAACAAAAAGTAAACAGTAGCTGTTAACTTGAAACCTACAGCTTCATGACATCACAAGGTGGAGCAGAGCATTTTGAGCTTTATAGATGCAGACATACTAATAATATGGGCCCTTTAAATAGACCGACTGAGGACAAATCAATGACAGATATTTTTACAGAGAAATGCAGAGGAGCAGGAAGTTGTAGTGCTGTGTCCTTGGCCGCTGGCTGTTCCCGGCTTATGTAACACAATGAGATCTCTCAGTTATTCCTCCATATTTGATGATTAATCCGGGAGCAAAGAGTGAGTCAGCAAGCGCTCCTCTCCTTGCGACGCCATTTTGTTTGGTCTTATCTCGGTAAAACCCTCATTTGTCCCAACTGTCTCCTGCTCATTTCCTCTCCGCTCTGTGATATCGTTGCTTACCAAGAACTTAAAGGGACAGCTCATTTGGTGTAAGTACAGATAATGCATTAGTGTCAGGAGACTTGGGTTGGCTCCATGTCATAGTAACATTTTAAACTGTCACTACTATTAAAGATGTTATGTTCCTCTTGCTGCGTTTGGTCACTGCTGGTCTCCATGGAGATGCTTTGGTTTTAATGCTCCACACAACTTCATTAAAATTATATCTCTACTAAGATAATCAAAACCTGTGACTGAATAAATGAAGCATAGATCATTTAAATGACATGTGCAATATCTAGAATTAGGGTCTGTTTACAAAACGAGGTAACAATAACCGAAATATCGTGATATCGTATCGTCAAAGTGCTCACAATAATATCATGGACCATCACAATATATCAAATTACAAGTCCTTTTTGCTTAAATTAAGAGTTATGGTGCAGCAATAGCTAAAAAAGACAGAGGGAACTACATAGACCATGATCCTTTGCTCCATTCCAGTGCAGACTTCAAGAAGAAATAACAGTTTTAAGCACTTTTAAGTCTTAGTTCTTTGGATTAAGTCTTGTCAAGGCATTTTAAGAGGAAAAGGTATCATATTAGCAGTTTTGTTCGCAGCCTCCACAGATTATCACAATAAATATCATACTGTGAGATGTATATCGTGAAAATATCGTACAGAGAGATTTGGATATTGTTACATCCCTAATCCTGAGCCTCCCCACCGTATCGTGAGCGTTCCTACGATATTGCAATAAATATTGTACTGAGAGGTTCATACCGTGATGATATCATATCGTAAGACTTGGATATCGGTACAACTCTACTTTAGAAGGTGACAGCATTTTTGTGGCTTAAAAACGAAAAAATCTGAAACCACCCTCCAGAGTGGAAAAGTTGAATACGCTCCACTGTAGCGTTTCCATCTACACTGCCCAAGACCCAAAATTTTGGTCAGATCTGCTCACGTCGCGTACGTGTTTACGTCACATACATCGCCACCGAGCCGCCTGGCATGCACACCCAATCAAATTCCACACACTTTTGCGTCACCATATGCACCCAGATTTCCTCCCAAAAATGGTCATCTAAACATGGAATAAAAAGTGAAGACGCGACGCCACTTTTGCATCTTCTGTTCAGACTTTCATCATATAAACGTAGCCTTAGACAAGCAGAAAGGTTACATAGCACTCCTTTAAAGACCATTACACCCATTACACAAAATAGACTCTTGTGAGCTTTAAGCCTGTTACAATGGTGTTACCACATCAAAAACACACCTGGAGCTGTGTTTTGTTTCATTCACACATGTTGGAGTAATCCTGGTTTATTAGTCTGTTTACATCTGCAAGGTTAAAAATTCCCTTTTCTACCTTGTGATGTCACGAAGCAGCAGATTTCAAGTTAACGGCTACTTTTTACCTTTTACCTTTAGTTCAGCAGAGTTTGGCAATTCCAAGGCTTATCCAAAGATCATTATCCAAATGATTCTAGTGAAGATATGGAGTTTAAAAAACACAGTGGAGCACTTCCTGTATTACTAGGGTGACCAGACTTCCCTATTTACCGGGGACAGTCACAGTTTTGAGCCCCGTGTCCCCTGTCCCAGTCAGTTTATCCAAAACCAGTGATTTGCCCCAGTTTTAGACAGAAACTATCCCAGGTGTCCCTATTATCAACCAATCTGATCCCTAACAACAGTAAAGAGAGGCATAAATTGTCATTTGTTGAGGGAAACTACAGAAAAGCTGCTTAAAAATCACCAAAACACAAAGAAAATGTGTCTATTCTGACTCACATGTTAGTCATGAATGGGCAGAGTGCAGAACAATTTTCCATAATTACGCACTCGTTTCACAATTTTATTATTTCCCACCACCACAAACTGCGGGTGTTCGTGTTCCAGTTTATGAAAATCTGGTCACCCAATGTATTACCACATGACATTACGAGGAGGAACAAAATGTTTTCTGTTTGAAAGAAGAACTCAGCCTAAATATGCAGGGTTTGTTTGTTTGTCAACGAAACAAAACACAACTCCAGGTATGTATGTTGACCAGTAAGTTTAACAATATTTTGATTCAGAATTATCCAATCAAAACCTTAAGACAAAAATAGACATATCTTTATTAAGTTAGCAGTGTTAAATATAGAAAAACTGCATTTTCAGCGAATAAAAGTTTGGGGCACACCTCCGCCTGCCCTGGAACCTTCTTCAGAAGCTCTGATTGCCTGGGGAGTCTTTTGGCCAAAACACCTAAGATGGCAGACACATGAGGTGAGTACAAATCCAAACAATTCAATTACAAACAAGGAGCAAAAATGAACTTGTGATTTATTTGTGATTTAATTCAGTTGGTTGTTTAGTTATTTTCCAGTACTGGTAACTTCACACTGCAAGAGACTTGTTTCTGTCATTTTCACATATATATTAGATTAAAGGTGCACAGCTCAACTTTTCTGCTTGTCTCCATGGAGATGTTATTGCTTTGCTTTGTTCCATGTTATGACTTTAAACGTTTCCATCTAGCATTTCATTCATTACAGGTGTTTCTGTTGCTCAAAAATACGATTATTTCTGTGAACAGAGGCGACTCTCCACAGATCTGAATTGTAATGTAGCGTAGAGCTGTAACCTACTTGTCTCCATTATGATAGATTAATCTGTACTGTGGAACATTCTAGACCAGGCATGTCCAAACTATGGCCCGGGGGCCAAATGCGGCCCTCAGACACATTTTTCTTGGCCCTCATACTTCCAGGTGAATTTGCCCAAATTACTTTGCATCAATTAAAAAATATTTTTTTACTGCAAGGTTTTTGAAAATCTACCTTGATAAAGCCGATATTTAATATTTAGTGTGTGGTTTTAAGGATCTTAGCATGAATAAAGTCTGATGGCTCATTCTAATGTGCTAAACATGCAAACATTTCAATTATTCCCTGTACTGAGCATCAGTTTACGGCCCTCGATCGACCCTCTGCTTCGTCTGTGTTTACATATGTGGCCCTTGATGAAAAAAGTTTGGATGATTATGCATGATTATTTTTTGGTCACGTGCACAGCTTTCCAGCAGCTTTATTCATAAAGTGAAATGAAGCAGGAAGGACCAACACTTGAATACTAGGCTCACAGCTCTTATTTCCAAGTTTGCAATCAATAAAACTTTATTGTTACACACTATTGGCATGACAGTTGGCACGTCCAGTTTACTTGGAAATTATTTCACAAATAAAATTCACATTCACACGTTTATTTTCTTAAGTTAATGTTTAAAAGTTCCTATATTACTCAAAATTGACCCTTGTGAGTTTGTAGCCTGTTTATAATGCTGTTGCCACCTCAAAAACATACCTGGAGTTGTGTTTTGTTTCATTCACACATGTTTGAGTAATCCTTTATTATTAATTTGTCTACATCTCCAAAGCTCAAAATGCTCTGTTCCACCTTATGATGTCATGAAGGGGTCATTTTCAAGTTAGCTTTTACATTTTGTTCAGTAGTGTTTGACTATAGGCCCTATTCACGCTTAAGTCACAAACCAGGAAGACGTTTGGAAAGATGCGATTACAACTTCCCAGGCGCAGTTTTCTTCATGTCCATGTCATTGTAGCGTTCTGTTATGTTCAGCGAATCAACAATTACAACCATACCTCATTTTTCATGATTTCTCCGAGAGCACTGGGTACATGCGATTAGAACAGATGAAGGCGCCAAATTCAAGCTTATTCCAAACAGCACATACGTCTGCAGTCTTCATTTTAACACTGATGACATTTCCTTCAATGGGTTTTATCACAGTCGGTCGGCGAGCCCAGTGTCGGGAACTACACAAAGTTGTAATTGCATCTTTCCAAATGTCTTCCTGGTTTGTAATGTAAGCATGTAAGTGTGTAGAGCCTATAGGCGAGTTTCAGCTGACGTCATTGTTATTAAAAACCCCCGTTGCATGCTGGGAAATATTTTGGTCGGAGGCAAGGAACAGGATAGCAGTCAAACACAGTATTTCTCCCCGATAATGATAAATTCCTGCTGCATTATCGGATGCACAAATAGAAGCACGGAAGAAGGAAAATGTCTTTTTCGTATTCCGAGTGAAAAAAAACCACTAACGTGAATTAAACGGCTTTCAAACATCCGCAGAGCAAACGTAGAAGATCCTAGCAAACCGTGGACTCCAACAAGTTCAACAACACATCGAGACTCTTGGAGGTTTTCATCTTTTCTGCTGTGAATGGCCCAGGAGTTTCCACCAAGTCATTGTGGATATCACCTAAGTGAATATTTGAGCAGGTAGTTGGCGATTCCGACCAGAAATTGGTTTGGTCCAGGCTTTGTCGGGGTTGAAAAGGGTGATTTGTCGTCCGTCGATGCTTATGACCAATTTCTGGTCAAATGGTCTTGGGTCCTCTGCCGTTAGAGTGGATAAATAACCGGGATCAATACTCTTTATGTGCTTTCTCGCTCCGTCCGTCATGTTGAATTAGTGTTTCTTGCCGCCGACCAAAATAATTCCCAGCATGCAACGCGCGCTTTTGTCAACAATAAAACTCGCCTATTCCAGGGTTAAAATCATCCAAAAGACACTAGTGAAGGTGTATGGAGTTTAGAAACACAATGGAGCACTTCTTTTCTCTTTCCTTTCTCTTCTCTTTTCAGGATTTGTGAGTTAAACACATGTAAATGACAAAGACAAAACAAAACTCCAGGTATGTTTGTGATGAGGAAACAACATTATAACATAGATCAGAAAAAAATAGCAACATGATTCATAAAAAACTATTAAAAATGAGAAAAACATGAAACTGTCATATGGACTTGACCAGTTCAAATCATGCCTGTGTTTCTAGGTTTCTCTTTGGGTTGGCGAAAACATTTCCGTACATTTAATACATACAGTACATTTATCTGCATGTCATATAAAGCCTGTATTATTCCCGTATCTTCGCTCATGTCAAACTCTAACCTCTCGTTCCACATACATTAAACCAGATGACGTGCCGTTTGCAGCGCTGCCACTCAAACTTGCACATACAAAACAACAATATCTGCAACCCGAGCAATCACAGCCTCATCACTATTCATTGGAAGAGACAAGAGAACGGGCGTAGTGCGAGATAGGGCCAGCCTGTGAGCCCAAACTCAGGGGGAAAAACCGGCAGCTGCACGGTGAGGTTTATGCGTTTGGTGGTTGGTGTTGTTGATGGTAATGTACAGTGTCAATCACAGGGCGGAGGGGGTGAGACGGAGGGGAAAAACAACATTATAATTACGGGGGAACATGAACGCTGACAGATGCAGAGTGACAGAGGAGTTGGGATCAGTCGACTCTGGCTTTGTTGAGACACGAGATAACAGACGCCGCGCAAATAATCGTGACATTTACCTACAGATGAATAGATGAGCTCCAGCAGCTGTCATGACGATCAAAGTGAGACAAGATGATCCAAAAAACACAACGGGCACAGTTCATATTTTGTATTTCTGGGTTCAAATGACAGCACAACATGTAGTCTGTTCTACTGATACTTTTCAGTTCATGTCAATAACATTTCTTTGGGGGGTGAAGCTAACTGAAAGAACTGCTCTGTCTGAAGCTCTGCGACTCAAGTTATACTTTAACACAATCTGATCACAGATTGTATTTTTTCTTGAGTTTTCCGATGATCTTAAACTTTTTTTTGTCTGTGTTTGGGAATAGTGTCACCATGGAAACTGCTGAACATTCCAACAATGCATTTCTAGCATTATGGAACACCCCCAGCTTGATGCCGTTGCAAAGAATCAGTAGATATTGTAGATAAAGTGTGGATATAGTAGATGGTAGATATTTACACTAAAGTAGTAGTACACTATAGTAGATATAAGTGTAGATATACTGGATAAAGTGTAGCCTATCCTGATTTTATCTTAAAAATGTAAAAAACTGAAGTTTAACTACCGTAATTTCCGGACTATAAGATGCTACTTTTTTCTCACACTGAGAACGATGCGGCCAATATATTGACAGATTATTTGGTTGGCACATTGTTCATTCATATATACGGTCTATGGTTCGGCAACACAGCAGATGCGCAGAGCCTGGGTGCAGAAAGCCCTGCTGTCTGTGCGGATAACACATGGGTTAATACAGAGTTGCAGCAGTAGCAGGCGATGTTGTCAGTGCGCCTGAACAGTTTATCGCTGTGTGATTAAAAAAACTTAAAAATTAACGTCTTACCCGTATGCGTTAAATGCAGGTGAGTGTGTAAATGAAATGACGAGAAGACTGTCAGTAGCCGGACATCCACTCATACCTGATTATTGGTATTACCAACCACCATAAACCGAAGGGTCACAGTTTTTGATTTTGAAAATCTGGTCACCCTATGTATTATCACATGACATCACGAGGTGGAACAGAGTGTTTTCTGTCTGAGAGAATTATTGCTTTGTGGGGAATGTTTGTATGGCATTAAACCTTTCTATGATCATGAAGACCAATCCAGACCAAGTTACAGGTCAGATCTGTGGAGATGAGACCCCACTCACAGTCAGAATGCCTGTTTATCTAGGTATTTTTGACCTTTAAAACCACCTGTAGTTGAATAATGTAAAGTAGATCTGTTTAATGTCATATTGTGGAACATTTGAGCCAGAGCAGTCGTCATGCGTGAATGAAACAAAACACAACTCCAGGTATGTTTATGACAAGGAAACAACATCAGAAAATGGCGAATATGAGCTTCAGCTATTACACTGCATTTATATTCTACAATCTTGGGCTTATACTTTGCCTTGTTATGAATGTTTTGTGTGTTATTAGCATTGGTCACGTGGGGACTCGCATTTATTTAGCCTGTCCCAGGGCATCTGAGAAAAATTATGATTATGTAGCAAAAGTTTATATTATTTAAATTGCCTTCCCCATTGTCAAACATTTCCAATAAAAGTCCTCATTAGTTGTGTTCCCAAACGAGATTTTATTGTGAGTGACTAAACCCGAGAAATGTTTTTGTAAAGTCAGCAGCTTTACTTTTCGCTTTGCCACATCAGGCCACATGGGGGCCCTTACAGACAATACATTTTGCCTCTACACATTTTAACTTCTTATTGGCTGAAGGATAGTGTATGTTCTTTAGAAATAAAAAAAGCTTTTAACGTGATTTTTAGGCTGTTTCATTCAGGGAGTTGGTCCAGAGTTTAACTAATTGACTGCTCTGGAATTGTACTCCAAAACTTTTATATGTAAAAGCCTGTATATAAATGGACATAACTAACCCGCTATGCACGTTCCAAATAGGAAGTGAGCATGGGCGCGCTTCCAGCTCCGTCGACTCTGGCTCCAGTTGACTTTACATTGTCACAATCTCTCTGTAACTGCTGCAGTGAGCCTCGTCATTTTGGTCTTAAAATGTTCGTTTTAACTTGCTCTACGTGATCCTGGTGTTTTTATTTAGCTGTTTGCTACATAATTAAATTCCTATTCCTATGTGGAACTTGGCTGCAGATTCGCTCCAATAACTGCTATCCTCACGAGCTTCATTTGACTGGAGCTGAACACTGTGGTAATGCTTAGGGGTGTAATGGTACATGTATTCGTGCCAGACTATTTTGGTATGTTTCGGACGTTCGGCTGTGCATGAGTGAGTTCACGCAATTTGTGTGTGTTTACGTTCGGTCACTACATGTGCAGCAATGCAAAAGGCTCGGCTCTTTAATATTCACGAGGGAACTAGTCCGTGATTGGGGTGTGCAGTGCTTTATAGTTAGGGAGGTCGACTTGACAATAATTACCTCCCGCCTTGACTACACCCCCCCACCCACTGACATTGTCGCCACCAGATCTACACTTACTGTTTTCTGGACAAAAATATGAATATTGAGTGAAACTTCATGCTGGAACTGTTAGCGCTGCACTTTACTTTTTGAAAAGTTTTGTTTACTGCTCACAAAGAATTTATTTTTTTTATAACATTTCATTCATTTGTTGCTTATTTGAGAATATTTTATTTCACTTATTAGTATAATCAAGCAGCACTTCACATTTGCAAAGCTTTGGGATGCAGGAGTGCTGCTTGGATATACAAAAATGTGCTGAATTGTCCTTTTGGTGCTCTTCAGTGTAGGGACCAGTCTCAATACAAGTAAGAAAAAAACTGAGGCACTCAAAAAGTAAAAATAATTAAAAGTTTAACATGGCAGATAAAGTTAAAAATTTAACTTTATCTGCCATGTGGTATTAAAGACTTTTAATTATTTTGTACTTTTTGAGTGCCTCAGTTTTTTCCTACTTAGCACTTCACATTTATTTTATTTTCCTGTTTGTACAATGTTAAAACAAATTGTTGGTTTAATAAACACACAAATAAACAACAAGCAAATGGTTTTGCATTTTATTCCCATTCTGTACCGAAAATGAACCGAACCGTGACCTCAAAACCAAAGTACATACAGAGCCGTGATTTCTGTGTACCGTTACACTCACTTAGTCCACTTCCTTATACATAATGGTTAAAGAAGGACTACGTAACTTTTCTGATGAAGGGTCTGCCATCTGCTTGTTTCCATCGAGATTTTACTTTTGGCTTATATTTTTCTCCATGTGGACAAGCACACGACGCCATCAGGGTTAAGTTATAGGTCAGATCTGTGGAGAGCTGACCCCGCTCACAGTTTTTCATAGTATTAATTCAGCAATAATGACATGTAATTGAATACACACAAGATACATACATTTAATGCCATACTGTGGAACATTCCAGGTCATTTAATTGTAGCTTTTCTATGCATTGTGTTATCTTTATCTGCTTTTCTTTTTTTGTCAACTTTCATGTGAAGCACTTAGAGTTGTTTTAAATGTGCTACATAAATAAACTAGAATTTAATTGAAATGATGATCCAAGATACATTTTTAAACAGTCAGTTATTTTGTTGGGAAAAGAAACCACTGGAGTCTCCTTACGGCTGATAAATCCACCCTTAAACTGACTCAAACTTTCTCACTTTCTGACTTCTTCACATCTGAATGTATTGCTTATTGCTTTTCATGTGCTCCTCAGAGGCTGCTTCCTGGAGCTGTGCGTGGGACTGGAGAGAGGTGGAGCTGGGTAACGCGCGTCCGGGGAGCAGCCTGGAGATCGGAGCGGAGACGGAGGAGAGGAAATCTGGAGGAGGGACCCATTTAAAACAAGATACAAGGCTGAGGTGAGATGTATAAATATAAAGGGTTATTTTCAACTTAAACCTGCAGTATGGAACTTTTCTGGTGGAGGGTCAGAAACTTTCTATTTTCTATGTATCTATTCTTTATTTTTGAGGAATAAAAACACCGGTAATTGAATATATATGCAAGATAAGTTTAATGTATCTCCATGGAGACAGAAAAAGTTATGTAAGACCACTATGGCTACGTGTGGCTTAAAGCTCAATTCTGATTTTTTTCGTGAAATCTGATTTTTTTGCGAGGTTGTTCACATTTCTAATTAAATGCGACTTGTATGTGATCTCCAGTGTGAATTTTAAATGCCCCAAAAGTGTCCTGCATGCACATTGAAAAACACTATGACGTCACATGCAGAGAGTGAGCTCAGTGTTTATGGAAGTAGCCTAAACAGGGACGCTAGGATTGAGCATCTGGAGATTTTAAAGTTGCTGTCGTACCAGAGCCAGAACATGTACAGCTTATTTGTTTTAAGGAGGAGATTGAGAAGCAGAAGGACAAAGTTTTTGGCCATGGTGTTTTGTGGGGCAGTGGCAGCAACGTCCTTAGAAAGGAACGTGTGGGTGCGGAGTTGCAGCCAAGAGTGGTGGGACTGCTATGTGCTTCACTGCTTCACTGATATGAAATTCATACACAGTTTTTTATGACGAGAAGAACGTTTGTACATTTGTGAGCACCTACTTGTACCACTCTTGGGGGAGGAAATACGTCTTCAGTGGCCTATTTCAGTGAGTGCGTCGCCGTTGGGCTGTAGGTCGAATGAATGTGACCTGGCCGTTCAGACCGAAGGCACACGTCAAAAGATCGGATATGTATTGGTTTTAGGAGCACATATCCAAGTGACCTGGGTCACATCTGAAAAAAAATTGGATCTGTGTCGTTCAGACTGTCATTAAAAGATCAAATACAG